TAAGTTTTGCTAGCCTGGAACACAACTTGGGCTCTTGTGTCTCAGAACCTCTTGCAAACTTCCAATTCAGGAAAATGTCATCTCATTCAAAGATAAGCAATAATTTAAAAGGGACTGGCAGAAAATGTATACCACGTTAATTAAAAAAAGAGAGAGAGAGAAGGAACAAAAATAAAGCAATAGCAGATGAAGGCTACTCACGAGAAAAAGGCTGCCATGGAACAAATAATAAATATAATCAAATATATCATCTCGAAATTTAAAAAATACAAACTGAAACCATCATCTCTATAAAATAAGAGCTCAAAGCAGAGATATGAGAACTCAAGGAAAATTGGTGAAGGCAAAACAATAGAAGGAGGTGAAATATAAGCTTGTAGAAATCAGAAAAGAAATGGCAGAGGGGAAAAAACCTTCCTAAGGGGAAGAATACTGCTAAGTCTCTTGCTCTGTGCTACTCTCTGTATGTACTATGTTGTGTTCCTTAACTACGTGAAAGGACAGTTGGACTCTATGTGTTGGTGTCTTTTGTCAGTCACCATCATCTTTATGAGAACTACAAGGAAGCATGGGAACAAATGAGTCATGCATGCAATTCAAGTCATAAACAGAACGACAGCGAAGGACAACAAAATAAAGTTAATTAAATTAAAAGCAAAAATCTTATTTTTAAAAACCAGAGTGGAACTAAAAAATAAATGCAAAAGTCAGTTTGTTGGGGGAAAAATACTAAATAAAAATAAACCAGTACCAATATAATCATGGGAAAAGAGAATAAAAACACAAATATGCAAATAAGGAACAATATTGGGGATATAATTGTAGAAACCTAGAAAACAAAAACTCAAATAAGAGCTTAATTATACACAAATACATTTGAAAACCCGGATAAAATAGATTTTTTTTTTCCTCGAGAGAATACAATTGATCAAAATGACCTCAGAAAAGATCCAGCAACCCTACTGGGTTTCCATCCAAAGGAAAATTGGTATCTCCAAGAGATATCTTTATTGCCATTGCAGTATTATTTATAATAGCCAAGATATGGAAACAACCTACGTATTGACAGGTGAATGGATAAAAATGTGATACATATATCTGTATACACACACACACACACACACACACACATGACAGGTGAATGGATAAAAATGTGATACATATACCTGTATATATGTACACACACACACACACACACACACATATACGCATATATATGATGGAAAATTATTTAGCCATAAATAAGGAAATCCTGTCATTTACAACAACAGGGATGAACCCAGAAGACAATATACTAAGTGAAATAAGCCAGAGAGAGGAAGACAAAGACTACATGAGCTCACTTACATATGGAACCAAAAAACAAAGTCAAACTCATAGGAACAGAGAGTATAATGTGGTTATCAGGGACTAGGGAATGGGAGAAATAAAGAGATGTTGGTCTAAAGGTACAAACTTTCATAGATGAATAAGTTCTAGGGATCTAACGTACAGCATGGCGACTATAGTTAATAATACTGTATTGTATTGACCTTTGCTTAGAAAGCAAATCTCGTCTTACATATACACATACACATAAATGGTAACTATGTGAGGTGACAGATGTGTCAATTAATTCAATGGCAATAATCATTTCACAATATGTATGTATATCAAATCATCACATTACACACTTTAAATATATACAACTTTATTCATCAATTATACCTCAATAAAGCTGAAAAAATGAGCTCTAAAGAGAGAAATATCTAAAAATTATGATAGGAGAAGACGAAACATAGCTACTTGAATTGAGAGTCAAGAATTGCAGACATCACAAAATGCTCACTGTCCATGAGAATGACCGAGTCCAAGTACCACCAATTTGTAAGTCTCCTCTTACATTGATTGACCTTTGCTAAAGCCAAGGAAAGCAATCAAAGTTTTTTCTCAGAGTTAGAAGGCAGAATAAATAAGATACGGGGGCCAAAAGCATATGATTTTGACAAGGCAGACGGGCATACATATAGAGAATGGAAACTGAAAGAAGTTGACCCAGAGGCAGACTAGAAGTTCACACCCTAGAGCTACACAGTAAAATTGAGAGTCATCCCGTTGTGAGACTTCCTTGAGCACATGCCTTCTTTCTCTACCAGCTTTGATCACTTCATCCATTTCCCCTTTTCACTGATTAAGTAACACTTCACACCAGAGGTTAATTGCCTGGCTCTTCAGCTGGGTAACCTCTTCCATGAGAATAAGTTTAATGTTTCTTTTCCAACATGGTATGCCCAGTGTATACTGGCCTTATATTGTGCCAGCCATTACATATTTGCTGAATGAATGAATAAATGGGGAAAGCTTGACATTTTTCGACAAGAAGCAGAGAACAATAAGAAATGTGGCTGCAGAGACATCAATTCTTGGCTCAAGGAGGTGCAATATCCCCATAGGAATGGGGCATCTATTCAAGACTTAAAGGTGCAGTGAGAATGTGCAAAGTCTGCTTGGGAAATGGTAGTGCATCTGCTGAGAGGCTGGAGGGACAGGTTGGAGAGAGAATCTACATTTCACGACGTGATAGTTAATAGGAAAAAAGGATGGTTCTACACCTGGCTTTTAAAAAGTCAACTTCACAAGCACAATCTGGAGCAATCTGGTTTAACTCAATATTACAAGTAAAGGAATTAAACCAGACTTTGAGATCTTGGTAAACAATAAGCTCACAATGCATGACAGACAGGATGTGACCATCAAAATAATTATGTTGAGATAGGCTGCATCGATAGGTTCTACAATCTTCAATGATGAAGGTGACAGGCTTGAACTGCTCTGGGCTGTCAGGCTCTTGTATGACTTTCCTTTATGAATACACTATAATAAGCAGAGTTAAATTTGAACATATTCAGAAGAGAGGCCCCCAAGGATGATAAAGATATTCAAAAGTAAGTTATGCGAAGAACAGTTAAAGCAACTGGGGCTATTTTGCTTAGAGAAGGAAAGACTCAAAAGAGACATGACAGCTGTTTGAGGATCTGAAGGGCTGTCAAATGGAAGAGACTTTAGTAGTTCGACCTTGAGGGTGCAGACCTGGCACTAACAGGCAGAAGCTTCAGGCAGATGGATTTCTGCTCAATACGAGTGAGGACTTTGAGCTGCCAGAACTACATTCATGGCGATGGGAGAGCTGCCTCAGCAGTCAGGGAGCAACCTGTCACTGCAGGCACTCCAGCCCACACAGCGTGACTGCGTGCAGTGAGGCTGGACATGGCATCAAGGGCTGCACTGGATGTCAGACTAACTGACTTCTAAATTCTTTCAACATGGAAATCCTGTGATCAACCAGCCTTTTGACAGACATGTTCGTTAAGACGATCACTTGAGATTAGTTTTGTGAAAGTGCTTTGTAGACACGGAAGTGTTTTACAAATATATGGTACTGGTATTCTTTCCTCATCACCTTGGGAGACTTCGATTGATTGCCATTTTCTCTACTTTAATCTCCCTTCAACCTCATAAAGATTTCTAACTTATAAATGCCAAATTTAATGTTATGACCACTATTCCCTATCTAGGTCTTCAAATTTTCAAAATGCTTCCTAAATAATAAATGATTCTTCATTTTTTCACTATTTAGTATGCTGATTGTGGTCCTGATTCTATGGTGCAAAGGGATGGAGTAGCTAAGTTCTCACATGCCACCTGATGGGGAAGGTTTCAGTAAGATTAATAGCATCTTCACAAAAATCTGTATATCAAAAAAAGTCTCCACATTAATAAACAATAAATAAGCGAGCACATTAATAAATAAACATCAGAGACTACGTTGATAAAATTTGATCTATGTTCTTTATCCACAGTGACCTCTGGTGGCCCAACCAACTCTCAGGCAATGATAATATTTGTTATTTGGTGGCATAGCTAACTTGCCACAAGGTCTTATGACTTGGAAAAATTGTCACATAAGTAAAATTCCAATTCTATTTTGGGTGTTCAAAATATTTTCTCCACTAAACTCCAATATCATCTCTAACAAGTAATGACTTGACAGCTTTGAAATATTTCTCCTTTTTTCTCCACTCTTCAGGGGATTTAACACAGGCAAAGGCAAGCTGAGAGAAAAAAGACGGGGAAATCGGGAAGAGAGCAAACTGGACACAGACTCTCCCAAAAAGTAGTCAACTAAGTTGCAAAGCAATCCTCACACCCAAACGTGTGTTCTCCCAACTGTTTCTGTATTTTATTCTCTAATTGACTTAAATCTAGGGCAAAAGAGATTTGGAAACTAGAATTTATACAAGGTAATAGTGAGAAAATAAGGTTCAGATAACAAGAAATACAGAGATTTTTTTGATATACTTCTCTTTTGATGCTGTGTAGCATTGAGAAGGAAACAGATTTTTTAAAGAACTTTTAGTTTATACTCTATATTCGGTCTAACACATTCTGTGTTTATATTCTGTTAATGAGGTTTAACTTTTAATGTAGGTTATACTTCCTTACATGAAGATGATGTCTGGGAAGAAAAATCTACCAAAATACTTTCATGTAATGTGATTACAACTCTCTAATAATGAGTATTCAGGGAAACCCCTACAGGTTTCTATTAAAAGTCAGGAGGAGGCAGGAATAAATGGGCTCACAAATCATTCTCTTATGCACATCGTTAGCATTCCCCAATCCATCTTAGTGGAAAGGTTGCTAAAAAGGTAAGACAATGGTGCCTGTCTTCAGTGAACCACTTTATTGTATGGCTAGCCTTAAATTAATCTATGCTGGATTGAACACTTGGATACCAGTAGGTCTGATGGGGGTCTGCTAGTGTTTGATAAATGTTCATGACTTATCAGCATTAAAAAGGAGGAAATGCAAGGCCACTATAGTCAATGTATTCTATACGGTTACATTGACGTGTACATAAGTGAAATAAAAATATTCTTTTCAGGGATCATAGAGTGGATCTTTGAGAAATACAGGCTTCAACAATGACAAATCCTCTCTTCCCTAGGGCTAGGACATACCTTGATTCCCATAGCTGGCATCGATTCCAGAGCCATCCCACGAGTCCACAGCACTGTCTACACTGGGTACAGTAGAGGGGTACATGTCGGCGAGTTTGCCTGGCTTCTGAGCTGGAGAGGAGTCCTCCTCCGTCTCTCCCAGGTCGCTCAGGTGGCTGGAAATGGGGAATTTCTTGGGACTTGATGCCGACTGGGCTTTAAAGACAGGAACAGAATTTAAGTATCGGAGTAAATTTAAATAAAAAAATATCAAACATTCTCTGGCGAAAGAGTCATTTTCCTAGAAATACACACATAGACATTTGCACATCCTTTTGGGGAAGGAAACACACTGGAAATCCTTAATTGTGGCTCTCGACCCACTCACCATCTGTCTGTTTCTTAATTTTCAAGGTGACAGTCTCTCCTGCCATCTGTAGCAAATGGATGGCTTCACTCAGAGGCTTCCCTTTCAAGCTGCTGCTGTTGATGGCGAGGATTCGGTCTCCTATGTGGATTGCGCCAGTTCTGAAACACCAAATAGTAATAGGAAAAGCAGAAATAATCCCTGCATGCCACTGAATGTAAATTCTCCGACAGACTTTACATATTCATAATAAAGACTTGGCAAGGGTCTCTAGAAGTCACTTCTAGCTTTCTCCTGGGCAATGTTACAAGATAACTGCATCTGCTGTGAATTACTTTTTAGTTTCAAATAAAATTAGAAAAATTGTTTTAATTAGTATTTAAAATGGACTTGTGCGCTTTTTAAATTCCAAGAAAGCGGAGTCATTTGGTATCCCTCTTAAAAATCCCAAGGAAACGAACAATGTTGGGCAATAAGACTAGTGATGTTTAGCATGGGGCATTTCCTTCTTTCTACAAATTGAAAATACTGAATGTAATCATTGCTCCAGCTCACCGGAAGTGAAGCTCAGAGAGATGGGGACATATGCCAGACCCTGGTGTGGCAGAGCCCCTTGCTGGTGATTCCAAGGATTGAAAAAGGCTGATCTCGGGAATCAATTATAGTCATGCACCACTTAACCACTGGAATATGTTCTGAGAAATTTGTCATTAGATGATTTCGTTGTCTGCAAACATCATAGAGCACACTTACACAAACCTAGATAGTACAGTCTACTAGTACGCCTACCTAGGCTATATGATATAGCCTATTACTCCTAGGTTATAAGGCTTTACAGCATGCTGAAGTATAAAATAATACAAGATTAAATTAAGTACAAGAGAAAACGATGCAATCAAGAGACTCAGTAAACACCAGATGTATGAGGCTGCTGACAATGTAACATGGCATACCATTTTATAACATATTTATATAAGTAGAAAGAGTACACTCTAATGATACAATGTATAGTATAGTAAATTCATAAACCAGTAACAGTCATTAATTATTATCAGGTATTATGTACTGTATATAAATATGCTATATTTTTATACAACTGGCTACAATGTCACTAGGTAATAGAAAATTTTTAGCTCTGTCATAGTCTTATGGGACCACTGTTGCATAGGTGGCCCATCTTTGACCGAAACATCATTATGTGGCACATGACTGTAGTGCTATGTTTGAATGCAACTCTGCCACTACCAGCTGTGGGACCTCGGTACCTTGTTCTAACCTCTCTGGGTGTCAATTTCCTTATCATTACAATCATCTCACAGGGAAGCTCTGTAGATTAAATGGGAAGACATATGTAAAGGGCCTTGCATGCTATTCGAAACGTAGAAAAAGAAAATTAATTTGTTGATCAATAAATTAATAAAACTTTGGTCTTTCCCCTTCTTTTCCCATCCTCACCCAATTCTGAGCTAGTAGATTAGAATTTATAATTTGGATGTTCAGCATGTCTATCTTTGTTTGAAAATGCTAGGTGGGAGTAGACTCGTAGTAGGTGGATTCATGGATGGTGTAAAAATTCATATCTGTCCTCTCGAGTTGAAGGCTGTAGAGTGGAGAGTCCATGTGCTAGCCTCCTGTTGTACTGCTCACTTTCACTACAGTGAGTGAAGGAATTAGCACAACTCACAGGGCTGCTCATGACTGAGTGTTCTGATTGCAGCTTGCTTCTGGGGCAGCAGGCAGCTGTGCTGGGCACAGCAACCAGGGCGACAGAAGGACACTAGGTCATATAGGTTATAAGGGGATGCTTAACAAGTCCACTAATGCATCTAGTCTCAAAGAATTTTTTTTCCTGAAAAAAAAAACAAAAAAAACACCTCATTCTTTCATGACAAATCTCTGGTTTATGAAAGATCTATCTTGTAAGCCATATAACACTTGGCCAGTAGCTTGATAAATCAGATAAACATTAATCTTTTCTTGTTTTCTCTCTAACAGAGATACTTAGAACAGGAGGGAGCCTGAAGAAACCATATCACAGGTGTCTCTGTTAATATCCGAATACAAAATTCTAATAGGGTAACTAACCCCTTTGAGCAGTTCAGTGCCCTTGTTTTACAGATGAAGATGTTAGATGAGCTGATTTCTATGGTATCTTGCAGCTCCAAAAATCTGCAATGCAACGTCTCTATTTTGCAAACCACTGTCTTAAAGTGTTAGCATGAATGATGCGTGTGCATTCCTAAGCCAGGTTACTTGAGGATACATCTAGTTATGAGGTCTCAATATTCCTACGACATGTCTCAGAAAGAAATGCAGTTTAGGAGAGAGTGGGGAGGGAGGTTGGGAGTGCGTGCTAAGGAAAACAAATTGCCAAAGGAACAGGTGGACATTCCAAATTACAAGATATTATTAAGATGCTACACTTGTTTCCTCAAATCTTTGAAGACAAAGACTGTGTCATCCTCTTCCGAAAACATGGCAGCTAAGGCCAGCACCTGTCAGGTAATAGAGGCTCAGTAAATTTTTGCTGAATTGAATTGGACAAGCCTTTTAACCTCCCTGAACTTTAGTCTCCCTCTCTCAGAATGGACACAATATAAATCTACCTTCAGTCAATCGTGGTCAGTTTATACATTTCTAGAGACTAATATCAACGCTAAGCCCATGACACCTTTCACTGCCTGTAAGAGGCCCCTCAAAGTCAAGTCAGAGCTCTGCCTGGGAGTTCTCAAGCTCTAAAATCAATCTTTTGTGCAGATTTGAAAAAGTCAACAGATAACCAAGCATGAGAGGGGAGTGTGTTTTTATGTGGCTGTGAGAGAGGAAACCCATATCAGACACAGGTAATTGTAGCAGTTCCTTCAAATTTTACCTTTCAGCTAATCCCCCTTTAGTGAGGCTTGAAATGATTATAGGATCAAATGGCTCTTCGGTTCCTGAAATCGTGATGCCAAGGGGCCCCCCATAGCGCTTAAGCTCCACGGTGTAAATAATCGCTCCGGAACTTTCTTGCTCATCTGCAATAAATGCCAAGGAGTCATAACTGGTTACTTCAGAAAAAGCAAAGTAATAAGACACATGTGTTCAGACAAAAAATAAGAAATGCAAAACATCATCATCAAAGCATTATATCTCAAAATAATTATTTTGGGAAGTAGCATTACTTTAGCAGGATGTTACATTCTAATTAAGGAGATAGGCCGTTCACTGCCTGATGACTTATGTTTTAAACCTGTGAGTGATCCACCCAGTTGGCACTGCAGGCTCTTTAGACTGTATCCATGCCTCGCACAGGCTTGCCCAATATTTTGTAAGTGAGCCATAAATACCTGTGGGATGAACACATGGCTGAGGAGGCAATATGGGAGGAGAGAGTCGTGCAGTGACAAAGGGATCAGGCCACATAATTCCTATTTTCAGCCTTAGCAAGCAAGCTAACTTTCAATATTGAAAAGTTGATTTTACTAAAGGTTGGAGCAAACTTTAACATCCACACGGTTAAATGGGGGTTTAGAGAGGTTGGGTGGGAAATCTAGAATCCCTTACACATCATTCCACCAACTGTCTTAAAATGTGAATCATGTTGACGAATTCATGGATATTAAAACAGAGGTTTGAATGATTATCTCTCATCTTGAGATTAAAAGCCATGTAGGCTATGTTTCAGTAGTATATACCAGGCCGCCAAATGTCATATGTTAATTTTCACTCTTTAACATTAGTATGAAGGGAGACATTTGTGAATGTGGTCTGCTCAAGCATTGGTCTGAAAGATGTCATGGGATGTCTTCAACATGGGTGGGTTTTTTGGACTGTGTTAGGGTTGCAAATATGAAGTCTCAGAATTCAGAGGGTCTTATTTGTTTATGACTTGCTTAAAGTTTTTAAGTGTTTCTTGTTTTATTCTTGGGGCTTGGGAGCTGTGAATGGTTAAGAAGCTGTTCGATTTCTGTACCTAAGAATGCAAAGAAATGGTCTAGTAGCTACTTTAACAAAACAATCAGCTTTTACAGTCAGACTGTATCATGGCAATGCACTAACACAGTCACATTTCTGCAATGAACAGCTGTTCATTTATGATATGAAACCCTAAAATCAGGAGGAAAAGAAAAATTCAAATTAACCATTCGGTTACCTGTGTGTGCAGTGCAGAATTACAATGAATGTAAAATGAAAGGTTTACAGAGTAACGTAGTAAGCGATGCGTCTTCTCCCACCAGCGCTTACTTCATTTCTGGCCATAGGTTGAGAGTTCTGGACTATACACCTCGCCTCTACTTCCTCCATGCTCTACCCCTAATCTGCTTCATGCAGAGAATTAAAGACCAGCTACCACACACTGCAATGTCTAAATCAACATCTTGGGGTATAAAAATCTTCAATATTAGACTCAAATTTATAATGAAAGCTGAGAATCCTCTACATCAAGACTTCAAAGCTCTGTTTGATGGTTCACAAACTCCTTCCAGGTTTCTACATAAGCTATGGCCAACTTGCTGAAGACGATCTGCTAAGGAACTGCCGAGAGAAGCACTAGGATACAGGTACTCAAAATGTGGAGTCTAAATTTTTCTACACTGTGATGTATCATCACCCTTCAGAGCTGGCTTTGACATATACAAACGGCATTATTGAGTATGTTACACATACTTTGCAGCCTGTGCCACCGACTATATTCTGGATAAAAGCATCGGTGAGTCATTTGATTAGAAAACTCTGGCATAGTTAAATCAGTTATCACTGGGCACTCTGCTGGCCATTCAGTGTGGGTGCGTATTCCACTGGAAAGACCCTGACCCTTTATTGTTCTCCCTTAGGGCAAGCAGGAGCATACTTTGTCAGTGGGCCCCAGGCATTCTCGATTTGGCCATCAGCTCTTTATGTGTGTTGTGGGAAGCTGCCCAGAACCCAGACACTTGTGAGAAGTTTCAGCTGAAATTTCAATACAGATGAAAACAACCACTGGTCCATGGGGAGCTGATCAGGGTGCAGTCCCAGCCACTGGGCGAACCTGGTTTTAATTAGCTCATTTTTCAGGCAACCAGACTGAGTTTCCTCTATTATCTTTGGACAATTCTGCACCTTGAATCAGAAAGATGACAAAATAGCACCAGCAATGAAGTAAACAGGTTAGGACAGTCAGTTTTAGGCTACTTTATGTGGAGACATTTTAATTAGTCCCTGAGGCCTCACTATAACTAGAAGGCAATTGCTAGGGCACTCAGTGAGTTTAAATAGCGATGGAGATGCAAATCAAGAAAATGGCAGCAACTTAACGAAGGACACATACTTGTGACCACAATGGGGTGGGGAGGTGGGGGGAGAAAAAAGTGATGCTGTATTTAGATTATGACAGAAATGGAAGCTTATTTCTGATTTCTTCATCAAATAAACTGCCAGAAACAAAAAAGAGAAAGGGGAGTTTTAAGAGATGTTACAACCAAAAGCAATGAGTTGATCCTTTTGGATCCTAATGTAAACTATTTTAGAAAAATAAATCTGTTTATCATCTATCTATCTATCTATCTATCTATCTATCTATCTATCTACCTACCTACCTACCTATCTACCTACCTACCTACCTATAGATATATATTAAAATCAGGCAAATGGAAACATCGAGTGAATATTTAATAATATTAAGAATTCTTGCTAATATTTTAAACTGTGATGATATTTAGTTACATATTTTATAAGTTTTAAATTCGGATGGGAGTACAGATGAAGCAAGATTGATTATAATAACTGTTAATGCTAGGTCATGCATGATGGTTCATTACACCATTTTCCCATATTTTTAATATATTTGACGTTTTTATAATATTAAAATTAATAAAATATTATTTTATTAATATTTAATTTAATACATTTATCATATTTATAAAAATAAATATTTAATAATAAATATTTAATTCAATAAAAACCCTATGTCAATGCCTTGAGCAAACAGACATTTAATTAGTTTGGCTTCCTTACTTTCATAGACAATGGTGGTAGGCTGTACATGTCTCATCCAGACCCTTATGAGACCCCTCGAGACCAGGACCCAGAGTGTCCCATTGCCACTTGCTCTAGAAGAGGACCTCATCTCAGCTCTACCCAGTTTTTCATTACAATGATTTCTTCCAATGTTTGTTTTGTTTTCCTGCTAGAGACCCAGCCTTTGCTTCTCTCCCTCATATTTATTTTCACCAGTGCTGCCAACACATAATTCCTTTTCTTTTTTTCCTAGAATATTTTAAAGGCATAAATCTGAATATTTTACTCTCTTACTTGATGCTTTTCATTGGCTCCCCAGTTCCTTAAGAATAACGTACAACCTGTTTCTTTGCATGAGCTGAGCTGGAGCCTCTGAGTCGCCAGAGGGTCACACTACCCTCCCATCCCAATCCAGTCTCCTAAATTCTTCTTCATAATCTGCAGTTCTTTAAAAAAAACATCTTTCTAACATCTTTAATCTTGCACTTGTTACTCCCTGTGCACAAACATCTTTTTTCCTTTGGAGAATTTTTCTCTTACTTTAAAACTTGGCTCAGATGTCTCATCCTTCAGGCTTCCTGGCTTCTCAGCTTGGGCTGGAGGCCTTTCCTATGAGATCCCATAGCTCCTGTATATTCTTCTAGTGTTTCTCATCTTATTTTAATTCTTGCCCTCACTCCCCGCCCCCGCCTCCC